TCTTGCTATTCTTGATATGCGCTCCTCAACTTGCGGCGTCGACTCCTAGAAAAGCAGTGGGTTTCTCCGCTCTTCCAAGGTCATAGCTTGAATCATCTTTTCGTAACCTGTTGGAATTGAAAGGGCACTTGAATCAGCATGTGACATCACTGTTGTGGTTGCAATAAAATCTTCAAAGTTCATCTTTCCAGAAGAAATCCTTCCTGCCACAACATCAGGATCATCTAAAGCCATGTCTGCAATGATCCGATCTACAACTGTTCGCTGTGCAGGATCTGCTTGCCCGTCAATTCCTTGATCAGCAGTGGCCTTTGCAGGCTTTTGCGAGGCATCACTTGCCCAGTCCGGAGCTGATTCAAACGCAGCCCTCTGTATGCCCCAAGCTCGGCCACAAGCAAATGTGGTCCTGCCCAATGTACCCCAAAGAGTACGTTGATTGCAGCAGCGCAGGCAGCATAGGACGCATGTAGAACAACCCACACACACCATTACCTAGACAAGGAAAATACCTTGGGTATTGGGAAAAACAAGATGGAACACACGAACCCGAATGCAAACACGTTCGAAAATCTAATATGTCCAAATGACACTCTTGTAGGACACTCTTGCGGGACACTCTGTAGGACACTCTTGTGGGTCACTCTTGTAGGAAACTCTTGTGGGACACTCTTGTAGAACACTTGTGTGGGTCACTTGCAGGACACTCTTGTGGGACACTCTTGTGGGTCACTTGCAGGACACTCTTGTGGGACACTCTTACACGACACTCTTGTAGGACACTCTTGTAGGACACTCTTGTGGGTCACTCTTGTAGGAAACTCCTGTGGGACAGGGTCACTTGCAGGACACTCTTGTGGGACACTCTTACACGACACTGTTGTAGGATAGTGTTGTGGGACACTCTTGTAGGACACTCTTGTGGGACACTCTTGTGGGACACTCTTATAGGACACTCTTGTGGGACACTCCTCTTGTAGGACACTCTTGTAGGACACTCTTGTGGGTCACTCTTGTAGGACACTCTTGTAGGACACTCTTGTGGGACACTCTGTGGGACACTCTTGTGGGACACTCTTGTGGGACACTCTTGTAGGGCACTCTTGTGGGACACTCTTGTGGGACACTCTTGTGGGACACTCTTGTAGGACACTCTTGTGGGATAGAGTACTCCTGTAGGACACTCTCAAGGGACACTCTTGTGGGACACTCCTCTGGGACACTCTTGTGGCACACTCTTGTAGGACACTCTTGTGGGTCACTCTTGCAGAAAACTCTTGTGGGACACTCTTGTAGGACACTCTTGTGGGACACTCTTGT